TTGGATAGATCAAGAAATACCTAAAACAATAAATAGAAGTTTTTCTTTTTCCGTTCTAAAATCTAAGAAAAAAAAAAATATTCAGGTTCTACCCAGATTTGAACTGGGGTCGCTGGATTCAAAGTCCAAAGTGCTAACCGCTACACCATAGAACCGATGTTAACCTTTCTTCATCAACTGTCTTTCATTAGTTATTCTATTTAAGAAAAATTTTACCTTATTAATATTTCCTTGTACGCGAATAGTTGTCCAATATTTATTTAAAACCATATTTAAAAGTTGTTCATTTTCTTTATGTTTCGTTAAAACAATTCGTAATAAATCAACCTAAATAACAAATAGAATTATATATTTAGGGGGGATAAATATATTTTAACGAACTAATTGTTCATATTTATAATCCAGTTCTTTGCCATGATTGCCAATTAAAAGACAACATTCAATTGCTGAATAATTTGATTCACCATTTTCATTCCCTAATGTTTCAATTAAAGCCTAATAAAAAATAATTGAATAAATAAAATAAAACAAGAAATAATTTCTAACTTTAATAAACGATGGTTTAATAGTGACTTGTTCATTTGATAAATTTTTCAAACAAAAAATCAATTGACGCCAAACACGATGAACTAATTCAATTGAGTCTAAACCTGATCTAAATATTCGAATAAAATTTTTATCTTACAATAACCTAATCCATTATAAATAGAATCTACTATGTTGTTTTTGATTAAGTTCAAAGCGGAAGTTTTATGACTTCAAAAGTTTGAAAGAGCTAATATGGGAGTTTATATTAAAGCCAATTTGTTAAACAAAGTAATGGGCCGACAATTCAAAATTTGAAAAAAAAAATTTGTTATGATTGGATAGAGCTTTTCAAGCTAACTATAAAAATTAAATTAGAAAAATAATAAAAATTCATAAAATTTGAAAAACACCAAAAGTATCAAGCATCAATATTTATTCTAATCTTTTTTTTATTTTACCTGCAATATTTGTAGTGATGATATTGTTTGAGTGTTGAGAAAATCGTTCTAATCGATATAAGAGTAAAACTCTAATTTCGATCATTAGAACTTCAGTTCCAAATACCATATTCCGAATCAACAGAAAAATACGAATCGAATAGTATACTTAGTACTTAACGTTAATTTTCATCAAATTTTTGTTCTTACAGCCATTCGGTTTTATTTTCGAATGCTCTGACTTGTGCTTCCCTAATAGTCGAAATTTGAGTAAGATTAGTTTGAAGCATTGAGTATACTATTTGATTCATTTTGTTTTGTTGATTTTGAATATGATATTGATTTCATTTGGAACTGAAGTCCTAATGATTAAAAACTTTGAATACAAGGCTCGTATTTATTGCGTAACCAAGTGACGAATAAAATCAAAACAAAGTCGGATAAATATTGAGATTTGATACTTTTGGCGTATTTCAGTTTTAATAGACTTTTCTAAGTGTTACTAAGGTGCAATTCGACTTGCTCTATCCAACCGTGACTTGCTGATACTTTACATGTTTATAACTTGCATTAAAATAAGCTTTGAAGTATTAAACACAGATTTCCTTTTTATTCGCAAGAATTCTTCTTTGTTCACACAGAATGACTTCAATATTTTATCTTGATGAGTTCTCGTCCAATGTGAAATATGAAGAATACGGATCTTGCACTACGACTTTCAGTTAAACCTTGAGTATTTTTTTTGAACTGTTTCGGACAAACTTACTTCATTTTTTCGAATGGTGAAAACCATTAGTCTCAAGCTACTTATCTTCTTGAATTATTCAAAAAAAGAAAACAATAGAGTTCATTATATTTCAAAAGGGACATTTGTTTTCTTCGTTTAGCTGTAATTCATAAATATTTGTTTAAAAAAATTTTGAATCATTTTCGTAGTTTTGTTTTTTTTTTTTACAAGTAAATTTGTCATTTACTTCATTCATTAGTATAATAATGTTTACTACGTAGATTTATTTATTTATTTTCCTTTGAACTATTTTCACATAACATCGAATACATAAGTATTTGAAGTTTAAGAAAAAATACTAACGTACGTTCTTCAAATACTCAATCGAGTCTATAAGCAATAGAAAACTTGTTTTTTTTTGTATTAACATGCAATATTAGGAGACGATTGTGCTACTTAACCTACACATAATAATAAATCTACTAGGCGGTTTCTTTTTCTGTTTTCATTTTAATTATCGACAAAAGCTTCTTATATATATATATATATGGTAGTTAAAACATATCCGTAGACGGCGGAACATTTTGATTCTAGGGTAGGCTTAATGTTTTTCCATAAGATCCTCATTTGAAAGTTAAAAATGAGACAAGATGAATTTTTGAATGCCACGTAGATGAAATACATTTAGTATTTCTTCTATCAGACTCACATTTTGCAATGTGTAGCAGTGGGGTAGATCAAA